AACACAACGTGGTGCGATCATCCCCCTTGCGCGGAGTGAGGGTTCACCCCGCACAACATGTTCTACTCGACCACCATTATGGCTACCGCCACAAAAAAAAAGACGGAGGTGAAAAAAAAAAAGGTAACCTGGTTGCCGAGTTCACGAAGTGAATTGGCTTGTTTTACAACGTCGTTACCAAGCGACGAAAACCCAACCCCGATGGCAAACACAAGGGAGTGAGCCGGCAGGGGGGCTGTTGAATATCGGTTGCATATTTAGGTTTCCGCTTTCCGCAGTAAGTCGTAAGATTTCCCTGATGTTTGGGAACACATTAGGGTTTGACTTCATTTTGACTAAACTTTATTTTTTTCTGTGTTGTATTAAAAGATTTGATTCGTCCTTGATAGCCCTTCTTGAGGACACTGTATGCCGAAGGAAAATGAGTTTGACATCGTGAGGTTTGAGTGGGTGGTATGGTGAACGACTGTTGTGTGTTTGGCATTGACATTATCACTGTTTTACCCTGGTGATATTGAAAAGGTTGTTAGATCACATGGAGTACCGAGCAGGGGGGCTGTTTAGGGGTACTCAGCACTCGATACTGATCTACGGGGATTCCGGGGGTTTCGTGTATCATTGGCGGTATGTGTTGGTAGAGGGGTGGTCCCCCTTCTGCATGCCCGCCCGCCTCCAAACATAGCCCGCTTCCGCTACGCCGCTGTCTCTGAGTCTTCTTTTGTCTCTGCTTTTCGTATTCGGGACCAACCGCCAGGTAGGATAAGGGCAGCTATTCCTATTGATGCAGCGCGCAGGATTAGTTGTGCACGGCGCAGGTAGGCTGCAATTGCGCATTCTGTGAACGTTTTTCCTGTCCCGGCCGGAGTGTCTTATCATGTATACACCTTTGTTTCCATGGCACATGACGGTGTCGAAGTTGTTTGGTTGTTCTTAAGTTAGTTGTGGAGTCAACTGAGCATTAAGTTTTTTTTGCTCTAACACAGGTAAGTAGTGGACTAAGAGTGTAATGCGAAGAGACAGCGTGAGAGCAGTGCGGTCAACGATTTTTACATGGCACGGCAAACAAGTTTTTGGTTTGGTGCAGATTTTGGCTTTTGAAGTCATTGTATATTGGATTTCCCCATGTTACACGCGCATCAGCTGAGACACATAGTTCTTTCTACACATGACTGCTCTAGCAGTGAGAGCTGAGTTTTCCTTTTTTTTTCTCCCATCATTGCACTCTCTCGTCTGCCCCTCTGGCCCCTATCCTCCACTTCTACCAGCTAGACGACTCAACCGGGGTCACACAGGAGGGGTTGGACCCCCCCTTGCGGTTCTTGCCTGAGATGTTTTCATCGCGAGAAGGATACAGCAATCCCTTCCCTCGCGACTTATTATGAAGTCGATCAAGTTTACTAACAACGAGCTTTGCAGTGCGTCGCTTCCAACGGGGACCAGGGTTTATATAGCGAGGAAAAACTCACTCTGTTGGGACTCGAACCCATGACCTGGCCCGTAGCAGGCTGCGAGGCTACCCACTAGACCACCGGAGCGATGGGTGATGTGGAGGGCATACACAGGTAGAGACTCGCATGTGGCAAACACAGCAGGAAGTAGTAGACTATAAGAGCATGATGGGAAGAGCCAGCGTGAGAGCGAGTGCGGCGGATTTTTGACGCGTCAACCATTAAACTGCAGGTGTGAAAATGCACCCTGTTACATGTGGTACGTACACTACTACCACAAAGACACAAACGGCAGTGACGGCTACAGCTGTGTAAGACGGCTGCTGTGATGTTGTTTGATAAGGTATTCGTACTGGGTCAATCAAAATAGTTTGTTTTTTTGCGAAAAGAGTGGCCGGTTTAGGGGTACGCGTTTTGTTTCGCAAAAAAAAGCTGTTTCGAGGGATCGTGTGTGGATGTATGTGCGCACGAGAAAAAGAATAATTTTCATGCCCAGGGGCGTGAAAAAGACGCGATGGCTGTCTGATGTCTGTCTGTCTGGTGTCTGTCTGGTGTCTGTCTGTCTGGTGTCTGTCTGCGCGCCCTAAATAACCCAGCAGACTCGAGCCCATTTCACCATCTCGGCACAAAATTGCAAACTAAAACTTGCGCACAACAAGTAACATTTTGCGCGAGCTGTCCCAACCGCTACCTTTGCAATCCGTGGTCGGTGTCTCGAGATAGCACACCGTTTGTGNGTTCATCGCTGATGATGTTGTTGTTGTTTCCGTTGTTTGTTGTTGTTCAACCCTGCCGTCCTTT